TCTACATTAAATGACTGAGGGCGTTCTCCTTCCCAGCCAACATTCGCCATTTAGCATTAGCATTACCCCCAAAAATATGTGGTGTGAATCTTTGAAATTTTAAATTACCGTTAATACTTCCATAGCATAAAAATCATATTTTTTATTTAGTCAAATAGTTTTGACCCAAAATATGCTGGCTCTTGAGTTGTCATGAGTTTTGTTTACATGTAGCGATAAATTAAAAGAGAGGGGGCGCAAAACAAATAAGGATATGTCTGTATGTGAGGTCATTGTCATTCGCACTATAACAACATCAGCACTGCAAATGATCTCAACCCTAGGAGGCGGAGATCGGGATGTCATTCGCACTACAGCATCGTCGGCACTGCAAAGGGCCGTCATGGCGTGACACGCCGCGAAGTGATGTCCCCCAGATCTCCCTCTCAGTGTCTTGTTAACTCACCTTGATCGATCTGCACATCTCTGGTACGGCCTATCTACGGTCCTTCCTCTCTCTTAACTGGTGGGTCCAGCCTCCCGCTGGCCATCGTTAGCTCCTTTTTTGGCTAGGTGAAATAAATTTATTTCAAGATACAGTCGAGAGGCACAAGCTCTTCTATGTAGTCATATCGCAATGCTACACCCAGTGTGGATGTACGACGCCAGCCGATCTGATACCCTATTTTGTTCATGTTTAAGTTTACTTATTAATTTCTACAACAAAATGGCCATATGTTGAAAGATAGCTGAGACTCTTGTGCTGCTACCTTTTGGAGGTCAATGCCCTCCATCGACGGTGGGGTTCGCGAGAGCTATATCTGGCCTAACGCGAGACTAGCTTCTAATTCGCCTGATGATTTCAGGTGGCCTTACAGTCTTGGCCCGACCCATTTCTTAGCGCTCGTTCACGTTTGTTCGCTCATTTGTTACTGTGTATTCGCTAGATCGTTCCCACTCGCATGTTACTGTGTGTTCGCTCGTTCGTTCCCGCTCGCTCGTGCTTTTTCTTTTTCTTTTCTTTTATTTTTTTTCGTCATGGGTTTCTTCGTTTTTCTGTTATTCTTCGTTTCACCTATTTTTACTTGTTTTTTTCTTTCCTTTTTCTTCAGTTTTATTTTGTTCCTGTCTTTGTTTTTATTGGTTTTTCTTTTTCTTTTCTATTTTTCTTTGGTTTTTTTGTTTCGTTCTTAGTTTTCATCAGTTTTCTTTGTTTTTCTTCCGTTTTCTTTTGTTTTTCTTAGTTTTTCTTCGCTCATGGGTTTTCATGGTTTTTTTCAGGTTTTCTGTTTTTCTTCACTTTTGAGGTCGTTCTTTTGTTTCTTTCTTCCATTTCTTCCCTTTCACTGCTTTTCTTTGATTTTTATTTTTTATTCAACACATGTCTACATTTTTCATTCACATATGTACATTTTACGTATACAACAGGAAACATTTATTGTACATGTTAACATTTTTTTAACTAAATGATTAACATTTAAAAATATTATGTTGTATGACTACTTTTTTTCATACACATTGTATATTTTCGGTATAGATTAGGAACATATTTTAATACATGTTTAACATTTTTAAAATCCATGATCAACTTTTTTTCTACATGATCAACATTTGTTAAAATATATGTATTTATGTTAAAATTTCTTAATGCACGTTCTACATTTTTGTATACTCCTTCCGTCCTTTAAAGAGTGTACTTCCAACTTTGTTGTAGAGTCAAACTATCTCAAAGTTTGATCGAGTTTGTGCAAAAATGTATCAATATGTGTGAAACCAAATAGGTATATGATGAAAATATATATTATCATTAATATAACGCTACTAATTTGATGGCATAAATGTTGATGTATTATTGTATAAATATGGTCAAACATAAAAAAAGTTTGACTTTCCAACAAAATTGGAAGTACAATCTTTCAAGGACGGAGGGAGTACATCAGAAACATTTTTTTGCACATGTTTAACATATTTGAAATAGATGATTAGCATTTTTTAATATATTTTTTTGATGACGACTTTTTCCACACACATTGTACATTTTAGGTATATATTAGGAACACTTTTTATACATGTTTAACATTTTTCAAATATACAATAAACATTATTTTAGTACACGACCAACATTTAAAAAAAAATGTGTTTATGTTCAATATTTCAATACACGTTCAACATTTTTGGTATACATCAGGAACATTTTTAAATAGATGATTAATATTTTTTAATTATTTTCTTTGATGATTACTTTTTTCATAAACATTGTCAATTTTTTGTGTATATCATGAATTTCATAAATGCCTGATTAACATTTTTTAAATACATGATCATCTTTTTTCATACACATTGTATATTTTTTGTATACATTTTTCATATACATGAGAAACATTTCTTTCCACCCATTCGTTTATGATCGAAATACGCTTTGAAACATTCTTTCCACCCGTTTCCTCTATGATCGAAATACACTTTGAATTGTAAACGGGACTTGAAGTAGAAAAATACGAGAAGGCATGGATTTGGGTTAAGTTCCGCCGGTGTTGCTAGTCGGACCGGAACAACACGGGGGACTGTAGGAAAGTATTCACGCTACGCCAAAAACGACAATGGCTCCGTACCAGAATGCATATTTAATATTTTTCAAATGCTAGATTAACATTTTAATTTTTTATGTAGATTATATGTATATATATAGGATATATATATATATATATATGTATATCTAAATTATTTGGAACTATATACAAAAGTAAAAAAACATAAAAATATAAAGAAAACAGAAAAAGATAAGGCTGTGGCCTCCTGCGAGCTGGGCCGGCCTAATCTCGCGATCCGTCAGGCGAGGCTGCCCTACGTTTCGCATGAAGCGAGATATAGGCGCACACTGCCGAAATCACTAATTAAGAAGTACTTCTTTTAAAGAACACTCTCACCTTCTTAAATTATGACAAATGGCGCACTGCATGCGCTTTACTTGTCGCAACTTGGGAGTTTTCTCCTTTTTTGTACATCCGATTATTCAAAACGTTTTAGCTCTTAAAGCGTGCATCCAAATCTCCGTTTTCATCATTGCATTCCTCGCATCGT